CATCCTCGAGGGAGTCAAAATGTGTTCCTTTGAAATGTTCTTTCAGTTTGGGAAACAAAAGAGGTCTGAAAGGACAAGAACAGGTCATAGGGTGGGTTAAATTCCTCAAAAAAATTTCCTAGGACAGTCCTTCCTAACCTCAAAGAATGAACAAGTCCCTTGCTTGTTGTGATGGAAAAAAAATTCTGTGCTACAACTTTCCTGGTCTTTTCCTCCAATGTAGTTTTCAATTTTCTAAAAGCATCTTCCTAATAAGTTTCCAAGATTGTCCTGTGTCCTTTGAGAAAATCTATCAAGATGACCCCTTTGAAGTCCCAAACATCAGTTTCTGTACCTTCTGAGCTAACTCCTCTGCCTTGAATGTCACTTGCCTTAGGAAGTTCCTATTGGAAGCCACTGCTTTGATTGGACCTTTTCAGGGAAGGCATCCTGACGAGACCAAGACAATTGTATTACTGATAGAATTTGTCTGCAGCCATTCATGGATCCCAGAGACATGTTTAAACATGTTTTGCTTGAAATAAGCCCGTGCATGTATGACCAGGAACACTAATTGTTGTTGTTAAGAGCTGTGGAGTCAGTTCCCACTCATAGTGACCCTACATAGGGTTGGTTTCCAAGGAGAGGCTGATGGGTAGCACTACTTTTTTTTTTTTAATGTTTTATTGTGAATTATGTGATAGTTTACATGAGAGAACATTAGTTTTACATTCATCCTATCGTGTATCGTTTCATTGCCATGGTTACAATCCCCTCCATGCATCATCAACCAACCAAAGGGTATACCCTACAAGCCTGCACCTGGTCGTCAGCACACAGCCCTTCTCTCTCTCTGGGTCTAAAGTCCCCAGCTGCTCCATCTCTCCACATAATCCTCTCTGCCTCCATCTCAGGCATCACTTGGGTAACACTACTTTTTACTTATCCTCTTGTGTGTGTGTGTGTGTACAAGGGTGCTTTAAAAAGTTCATGAACAATGGAAAGATTAAAAAATCATGGAACATTTACATGAACTTTTTGAAGCCTCCTTATAGATGTACTATGAGTTGGAATCAACTTGATGGTTATGAGTTTTTTTTAATTACAAAACTGAAAAAAAATCCTATGAAAGCCGGAACCTGTGTAAGGCAGCAATCTGTAAGAGAAGAAAAAGCCAACTAGTTTCCATTCAAAGGAGCAACAGAAAAGTGGGAAGGCTCCACCCTGTCAAATGCAGAGAACTTACGAGACCCTGAAATAAGGGCAGTTCTGGCGAATTTGACTTTCACGGAGCTCTGGTAGCATAGTGGTTACGAATCGGGCTGCGCACCTTAAGGTCAGCGGTTTGAAACTACCAGCCACTCCGCGGGAGAAAGATGAGGCTTTCTACTCCTGTAAGGATTTACACCCTCGGAAACCCTGTACAGGGTCGCTATGGGTCGGAACCGACTCGACGGCACTTAACAACAACAACAACTTTTCTGATGCTCCTTTGAGTAGAAAATAGTTGAATGTCCCTTCTCTGATAGGTTGCTATCTTATACGGGTTCCAGCTTTAAAAGTTTGGTGTGGCACTGTAGAATAAGCCCTGGCCTGCTGAGCACAGGTCCACGGTTCAAACCCACCAGTCACTCCTTGGAAACCCTACTCAGGATCACTCTGAGTCGGAATGGTGATGAAATATTTGCCATCTCAACATTTTTGACAAGTCCTATCCACTGACATTCATTCAATTCATCATGTCACACAGCCATCTCCACTGTAATCTGTATCCAAGTTTTTCCAGAAACTCACTGCCCATAATAACTCTCTCCTTCCCCATCCCCCAACCCCTGGGTACCACAAATAAACTGGGTCTCTAGCCGTTGCCTTTTCTAGATATTTCCTCTAAGTGGAATCAAAATAATTGTCCTTTTGTGTCTAACTGTTTCCACTCAGCATAACGTTTTCAGGATCACGTATGTTGTACTATCTGTGTTGTACCTCATTGCTCTTTATGGTCCGTCATTGTGTGGCTGGACCACATGGTTTTTCTCTGTCATCTGTGGATGGACACTTGGGATGTCTCCACCTTTTGGCTGTTATGAGCATGTTGTTGTTGTTGTTGTTGTTATGTGCCATGGAGTCAGTTGCAACTCACAGCAACCCTGTACATAGTTTCCAAGGCTGTAAATCTTTACGGGAGCAGAAAGCCTCATCTTTCTCCCGCAGAACAGCTGGTAGTTTCGAACGGCTGACCTTGCGGTTCACAGCCCGATTTGGAACCACTACGCTTCCAGAGCTCCTTGTTATGAGCATATGGGTGTATAATTATGTGGTTTTAGTCCCTTCTTTCCTCTCTCTTGAAAGTGGAATTGCTGGGTCATAACTCCTGGCATGAAGCTGGAGGATTGGCACTGGACTGCAAACTGCAAGGTCGGCAGTTCAAACCCACCAGCTGCTCCTTGGTCACTATGTGTCAGAACCGACTCGATGGCGCTTAACAACAACAATGGTAGTTCTAAGTAGCACTGGTGACTCCGTGTGAAGTGCTCAGCTGCTAATCAAGAGGTTGTTGGTTCAAACCCACCAGTTGCTCCAAGAGAGAAAATACCAGATGATCTGCTGCTGTAAGGATGACAGCTTAGAAACCCCCACGTGGCAATGCTGTGTCCCATGGGGTCGCCATGGTTTGGAATTGACTCAACACCACCCAAAAACAACAAAAGGATAGCTCTGTGTAACATGTTGCGGAACCACCAAACTGTTTTCCACGTTCACAAACTCACCTACACTGGATGAGGGTCCCGGTGTCTCCACAACATCTGCAACACCTGTTCGTGTTATAGTTTCTCTTGAGCATCATAATGACCACCTGTCCCTCCACCATATGGCCGGTGCAGTTCCAGCAAGGCCAGCTCTGTGCTTCCCCATCCCCCAGGGAAGCAAACAGAGGAAGCAAGTCTGTTTCTGAGAGTTGCTGTACCGAACGACCACAGTCCAGGTGGCTTTCAACAACAGGAATTATTGCGTCCAAGTTCTACAGTCTGCGAGTCCAAAATCAGGGTGTCGGCAGGGCCATACTCTCTCTGAAGGGTCTAGGGAAAGGTCCTTCTCTGTCTCTTCCAACTTCTGGTGGCACCGGGTAGTCTTTGACTTGTAGACACATTGTCATATCTTCTCCTCTTTATAAGAGCACAACTCAGTATAGGGTTAGGGCCCACCCTACTCCACTATGACTTCCTGAGAACTTGGCTGATAGCATCTTCAAAGACCCTATTTCCAAACAAGGTCACGTTTACAGGTACCTAGGTTAGGACTTCAACGTACCTTTTAGGGGGACACAATACAACCCATACACAAGCATATCTTTGGGGTCAAACAGCACAGCGGCCCGAGGCATTTAGTATAGGTCAGGCCCCTAACTTGTGTTTATAAATAAAGTTTTATTGACACACAGCCATGGCTTTTTTTTTTTTTTTTTTAAATCATCTCTGGTGGCTTTCACTACAATGGCAGAGTTAAGTTGTCCTAACAGAGGCTGTGTGGCCCATAGAGATGGCCCCAGATCAGCAAGGGTGCTGTTGTGTAACAAAACCCCTCCTAGATGCTGACTCAGACAAAACCAGGTCTATCATTCTTCTTGGATCAACTGCGGAAGCAGCAGTCAAGAGATCAGACGGTGTATTGCACTGGGCAAATCTGCTGCACAGGAACTTTTTAAAGTGTTGAAGAGCAGAGATGTCAGCTTGAGGACTAAGGTGCGCCTGACCCAAGCCATGGTGTTTTCAATAGCCTCATATGGATGCGAAAGCTGGACAGTGAATAAGGAAGATTGTAGAAGAATTGATGCCTTTGAGTTATGGTGTTGGAGGAGAATACTAAAAGTGCCATGGACTGCCAAAAGAACCAATAGGTCTGTGTTGGAAGAAGTGCAGCCAGAGTGCTCCTTGGAAGCCAGGATGGCCAGACTTCGTTTCTCATACTTCAGACAAATTGTCAGGAGGGACCAGTCACTTGAGAAGGATATCATGTTTGGTAAGGTAGAGGGTCAGAGAAAAAGAGGAAGACCCCCCAGTGAGATGGATTGGCAAAGTGACAGCATCAATGGACTCAAGCATGGCAACAATGGTGAGGTTGGCCCAGGATCGGACATTGTTTCGTTCTGCTGTGCATGGGGTCGCTATGAGTCGGTTCTGACTTGATGGCACCTGACAACAACAACAACAACCAAGTATCCTCTACAACAGGTGCCATGGTGTTGACCCCGCGTGTCAGAGTAAAACTACGCACCAGACTTCAGTGGCTGATTCTTTGAAAGTAGATCACCAGGAATTTCTTTGGAAGCACCTTTGGGTGAACTTGAAACTCTAACTTCTCTCTCAGTTCGCAGCCAAGAGTGCTTAAAGAATCATACTCCCTGGGAGAACTTGTTTCCCTTTAAAATTTTAATTTTCATTTTAAAAAATATTAATGCACAGCAGAACAGACGCCCATTTATATTTCTACACATATCATTGAATCTGGCAAAGACTTCATTTTGATTAGATCCACAATCAACATCATGGAAGCAGCAGTCAAGAAATCAACTGACATATTGCAAGAGGCAGATCTGCACAAGACCTCTTTAAAGTGTTCAAGAGCAAAGATGTCAGTTTGAGG